GTCTAGCGCGTGAGAAATCGACGATGTATGACTGTTTAGCCATGAAACCGAGCAGTATTTTAGTTGATCTCTTTCTAAAAGATGGCGTTGCAATATGTTAGATAAGGACAGATGAATACGTTTGAGTGAGACACAATGATATATAATAAGTATAAGAAATGAATAAAAGATGTTACTATTGTCGAATTTGGAATTTAAAAAAGTCTGTACTATCGACCTTGATTAACTTCAACCGTCACTCTAGCATCCCCTTAATACTAAAAATTTTAATCATCCTTTAAACAAAATTATAAAGAAAGCAGTAATACTAATAATGAATTATTTATCTTGAAGTGATAATATCACGCACGAAAAATGAAGATGAAACTTGGAAGAAAGATAATTGTATAATTTGTTTTATTAAATATACTTAATAAATATACATGTGCTTTGTTGATGGAATAAAGAGATTTAACACATTACTATCTTGGATTAAATAATTATTTTATTTTTTGTGTCTCTTTTAATACTAAAATTTTTTGGAAAATTAATGTTATAGTTAAGAGAGAGAGAAATAGACTGTCTACATTCTACATGTGATGAATATTGCTCATTCTTCTTGAAGATATATTCTTCCACATTTTATATCTAATTTATATTCGTCATTGCATAGATAACACGACAGTAAAGTAAGATATTGAAGCTTTTATCAACTGAAATTAAAATCATTCCAGTTTTTATTCTGTCTGCTTACAATATACATTATACATAGATATATTGAAACGAAGGCTATATATTATTACCGTAGCAAAGCATTCGATCGATGAAACCAATATTCCACCAACAATTATAGTAAAATCTTTGGCGCCTTTTAGTAATAAGAAGAGTATCATTCTTTGGATGTTCAAAGGAGCTAAATACCATTGAACGCTGTATCTGCGAAATTGTAGGGACGGAATCGTTGATTTGTGGGGAAAACGGAGGGATTCATAACTATTTTTTATCATTTTACGTTGATAATTATTAAGTTTAATTAAATTTACTTTTAATATATACTTATATAGACATCCACACAGTAAATTATCAGTATCTTATAAAAAAAGTTTCTTACGCAGTAATGAAAACTTGACTATTGTGATCTATGATATTTTGTCCAAAAAAGTTGCATATAAATAAGTACATGATATTAGCAAATATAAATATAACAGGAAGAAAAGCTTCCCTAACAGCTTCTCCGGACGACGCAATCTGAAAGATCTACGAGAAATAAAGACTGCAATGAATTTTTTATATCCTAACAATCCTCATTTTATACTGTTAAGTCTTATTTCTTTAATAAGAATTAAAATTATATATTTATGCAAAATTATTTTGAATACTGATTAATAAAAAGTTGCAATAGAATGCAGTATAAGTTCTCTGTTAGAATAACACAAATGAAAATGACCATTGCTCGTTCAAAAATAGATTTAAAAATGAAATATCAAACTTACCCGAAGAAAATTGAAACATAAGGAAATGATAAAGACTCCTGTTAAACTGAGGAACATTATCTCAAAACTAGTTACCAAATACTTAGATAATCTTTAAAAACATTAAAATATTATTGTATATATCGCATGTACATATCTTTTTATGATGCTAACCTCATTGCTTCTCGATGAATATCTACAGCGCATATTAAATTTTCGGATTTTAAAATTTTATTTTTTAAAATAATATTTTGCGGAATAAGGATCTTTATTGCGCGTTCAATACGATAACTGTAAATAATCATATAATTTTTCGAAAATTTTAGAAAATTAAATTTTATCTATATAAATTAATTTAAAATAGTAATAGTTTTTCTACAATATTTGAATGTTTGTGGCTATTTTATATTAATTTGTTTTGTACCAAGAAATTTTGAACATTCCGAAAATAAACTGAAGATATCCAATGAGCATTGTTCCTGCTGCTATTGTTGCAATTGTTCCTATACAAAATGCTGCGTTTACGTGTAATAAAATTAAGAAAAAATATTTTTCTTGATCGACAAAATATTCCGTTACAAATTGTATTCGACGTGGCTGAGATACATTTATTGATGAAGTAACATCAAACATATTCGTCCAACATTGAAAAATAATAGATACAATTATTCCACAAACCCCAGCTACTAAAAAGCATAAATGGATAATAGTTATTTAAATTTTTACTATTTTGTTTTTAAAAATTTTGTTTTACATATATCATGTACATGTTCCAAATAGTAATGTGACTCTTAATGACATTAAAGACGTCATTTTGTTATTTGGGATACATATTGCCCTTATATACTAAATAACTATTCCACAATTTTATTTGTTTTATAAAGATGTTTACTGATTTCTTCAAATGCACACAATAAATACTTTACAAACTTTTTGAACTATACATATATAGTCACAAAACTAATTGTTCAAATAATACACCATTGTATCAATGATTTCCTGAAGCTGTTATCCGAATGTTAAAAATTGTGGCTCTATGCACTCATTATGACATTGATAGGTTTATAATTAGGTGTTCAAATATAAATAAAATATGTAATAATAAGGCTCACAAAATTAATAAAACAATGCATGCAACAAGGGCAATACAAGTCATGCGCACGCTCAGAAAAAAGTTTTGTTGATATGTGACCAACGAAAAGCTTTTCGTTGTCCTAACCAAAATTTGATTATGCTAATCAAATTTTTGTTAGAATAACATAAAGTTTTTGTTAGAATATGTGACTAACAAAAATTTATGTTATCCTAACAAAAATTTGATTATCATAACCAAATTTTGGTTAGGACAACGAAAAGCTTTTCGTTGGTCACATATCAACAAAACTTTTTTCTGATTGCAGTAATTCGAACTCAATAATAAATGAATACCAAATTGATTTAAAAATAATATAATTGGACGTTTTGGTTTTCGCTTTAAGAAATTTTCAGCTTGCGTTCACAAATAGATATATCTTTGTGGACACACGCTGAAGATGACACAAACAGAAAGACAAAACGTTCAATTACATAATTTTATATCAGTTTAGTTATATTTGAACTTCCTGACTTATTATATATGTGCCGTTGTTGTATATTATTTCTTTATAAATATAATCTATCAGTGTAGCAATGCATGTGTAAAACCATATTTTTTTAAATCTGGACAACGCTTTTAAAAAATTATTGATATACGCACTATCCGAATAATCAATTTTGTGTTTCATGACTATATACAAGGTGGCATCAAATTTTGGCCCTACCTGTCCTGAGCAGGTAGAGCGGACTAAACTGAGTCGAAAAGTCTTCTACCATTTTGCAGTTTACACAATAGTTAACGAGATATTAATGTTTAAAGATAGTGTCAAATACGAGCGTCCGCCCGACCTACTATTGCCGAAGGTATGGCTTACCGATCGCACGGCGCGCGGGGAGTGGGGCAAACGCCCCGCACACCACCACGAGCCTTTAAGCCATGGTAAAAGAATAATATGGTGTTCACAGTTTGCAACCTTCCTTCTTTGAATCTCCGACCTCTCTATCTATGAATGTCGATAAAAGCCTAAGAGTTGCCAACTGTGAAACGCTAAACATGAGACGATATTCATAGTCCGTTTTTAAAACTGTCTTAAATAATGTCTTAAGATGCTAATACAGTCCTCGGATTGACTTATGGCATCTTAAGATTGTACTTAAGACCGTCTTAAAAGCAAGAATTGATTATGAATACCGACTTATTTCGTGTCGTGAAATTGGTACTGAATTTTCCTTGTTTAACACACTTTATGTTTCTCTTTCTATAGAAAGAGAATCTAATTGTAAGATACGTTATGATGTGTGTCAAACAAGGAAAGAAGCATTGGCTTTTATCGACAATCATAGATAGAAAAATCGAAGATTCAGAGAAGGAAGGTTGCAAACTGCGCACACCATGCTATCCTTCCCACCATGCTCTAACTCTAAGGCCTATCACACATGAAATGCATAACAGAGCATAAGCTTAACATAAGACTGCTGGACCAATGAGCATCTAGCATAATGTCGCCATATTGATTTACATAAGATGCTCATTGGTTTAGCGGCCTTATGTTATGCTTATGTTCTATTATGCATTTCATGTGTGAGAGCCCTAAAGCGGGGAGCACAGACTCTTGCATAACGCATAACACATGAGGCATAAGAAATTGAACCAACCAGAGTTCTCTATTACATGGAAAGGAAAGAAACGGAGAACTTCGATTGGTACATATTCTTATGCATTACGTGTTATGCGTTATGCAAGAGTCTGTGCTCTCCGCTTGAGGTTTTAAGCTCGAACGACGCGGCGCGCCTGCTAAGCCATCCCCACTTCTCGCGGCCCGTGCGCCGTGCGATCGGTGGGCCGTACCTTCGGCAATAGTAGATCAGGTGGACGCGCGTATTCGACTATCTTAAACGTTAATATTTCGTTAACTATTGTGAAAACTGCAAAATGGTAGAAGACTTTTCGACTCAGTTTAATCCGCTCTACCTGCTCAAGACGGGTGGGGCCAAAATTTGATGTCACCCTGTATATATAAAAAAATTATTAAGACAAGAATAATTATGTAATATATATCTCAAAACTGATTTTTTTTCTATTAACATTTTAATAGTATAGATTAGAAAATAAAATCACATGAATAATCTTGCTTTACCCGTAAGTAGAGTTGTATAATATTTAGCATTGTATCCATATTTTTTTATGATAGCTATTTCTTTTTCATCCTCTAATTCGTCGTATATACGTTGAAGCTGCATTAGTAAATTTTTTACCTGTTGTTCCAGCAACATTCTTATATTATCTTTGTATACAATAGAACATATTTTTATATATGTTTTGATGCCTTATCGACAAATAAATATTTATTTGTCGGTTAGGGATTTATTCTATTTTACGAATTTATTGTATATTCGAAACTTACACTTTTGATGTTAATGCAAAACCAATTGTAGTTTATCAAGTAAACAGCAAAGAAAGAAGCGGAAGACACAACCTTGGCGACAAGATCAAAAGTACATCTTAAAGTTATAAATGATGTCAGCTGCAAATAGTTATTTTATTTAATTTTTATTTATGTTAATACGAGACTTTAAATAATCACAATATAGTTTTAATGTAAAAATTGGACTGCATGTAATACATGTATGAGATTAATTGGTTAAAAATAAAATACGATGCCATTTATACTATTTTCTTACTTGAAATATAATACTTGCTGTCAAAATACTAGAAAGAAAAATAAACTGAAATCGAGCGAGGATAGATTGTTGATAGGGCCACAAACCAATAGCTAGTAATAGAATTTTATTAAGATTGAAATACTGAATTTCCAAACGGATCATTTCTCTACGTGCTCCAGAACATTACTGACAAGATATCGATGAGGGTATGCTCATCCCCACCTTTTTCTACTAGTCGATTAAATATTTCATAACGTCTTTCTTTCACAAATTTCAACGCAAATTTCTTAATTGACTATAATGCCCAGACGTGCAGTCCGCTATGAGATCGAAATTGGATTCAGCAAATTTCTGAACGATCCGCGTATATACCATTATTCTTTATAACATAATTTATACGTGATCGATTTGTTGCTGAAAATAATACGACGGATGTGTCTTTCTCATGAAATTAAACTATAGAAAAACTTCAGAAAAGTTACGCAGGCGCATTTCCTTCTTTTCGTTTCGAAACTTCATTATAATACGCGCACTCATAAGTCACACTTGGTCTTCGAGAGGAATATATCTCTTAGTGTTAACTCTTTTCATGTCGGATCTGCCTGGTAAAGCTTATAATTTAAAAATAATTACATTAAATTGATGACAGATACATACTGTTAAATATCAATTAGCGATCAGCGTGATGAATGTTTTTACCAATTTGATATATTAATTATCTAGTTAAAAATATTATTTATTAGTTACCAGTGTTGTGCAGTAGGTACTGTAACTAGGTACAAACTTTCGTACTTAGCAACTGTACCAAGATACTTTTTTTCTGATATCGATACTTATATTTAGGTATCATTTCTTGTGTACCAGTACCTTTATATTTGGATATATTTCAATTTTTGATGATACTTTTCTGCATTAAGAGAGCTTTGTAAGAGCTTTGTAACAAGTTTGTATTATGTTTTAAAATCATCACATTTAGGAGATCAATTTCGATATTAGCATCGATATTTTTAAGTCAATTTATTACATCAAGTTGTACAGAGTGTTACATGTATTTTGTTACTTTGATCGTGATTTCTATTTCAACTTTATTTGATTTAACATTAAAAACCTAAATTGTACTAATGACCTAAAAAATTAAGGTCAAAGAGTTTATGATTTCTTTTTTATGTTATCATTCTAATAGATTTACATACACACTCAGATATTGTGTTGGCTCTTCGTAGGCACTTTGCATCATTAATTTATTTAATTTATTTGAGCATTTCATATACATTTCATTGTATTATTTTTTAATGAGTAAATGTTAATAAATGGATTATTTTAATAAGACCAATTAATGGCTTTATAAATGTTATTTTTTTTTATTTCATATGTCATACTATGTATACATATAAAATATATATATAATAAGTAAGTATTATGTGCTGGTGAAATACATAAATCATACCTAACAAGCAAGCTGTCATCATTTTGACGTCAAAATAATATCAAAGATTTGTCGTCAAAATGCACTTATTTAAAATTTTATGTTAAAAATAAAAGTACGTATACCTAAGTACTTTTAAGAGACCTGTGTCTATACTTCGGTACATTTTTTCCAGAGTATCTGTATATGTACATAGGTAACATACTGAAAATAAAGTACTTTGCACAACACTTTGTTAGTGACTATACACTTGTCTTTTTTTATTTCTGTTGTTAACTGGCGAAAGTTTAAAATATCTAAATAATTTAATTATATTATTTAGGAAAAATGTTCAACGTGTCGACAACAAATTGTAGGTAAAAAATTACTTGAAAATAATGTACAATAACTGAAACTATGTGATTGTTTGAAATATAATACGTACAGGGTGTTACAGATACATACTGTATCTGCGGTAAACTTTGCATGG